AGAAAATTGCAGCTGTAAATGCTGAGAAAGTGACCATAGTGACTGCATTCATGGCCCAAATGAAGGTATGAATAAGGGAACCTGACTGCATTGCTTGTGTTAGCTGTGGTAGAATGGCATTAAGCCCTTCTCTGTTTTTAGATCATCTTTATAGCAGATATTATTGAAAACATCTACGATTTAATAATTTCACGATTGCATTTTTTTCTATTCACTTGTCTGCATGACCTTCAGCTGAGAGCCAAGCTGACGATGGAGAAGGTGCATCTGGCGTTGGAGACGGTGGGGCTGACGGCAGAGAAGAACAAGCTGGAGAATGACTGCAGAGAAGGTGCCTCTGAGCTGAGGACCACTGATGTAAGTATTTAGATGGGGAGCTTGTTCGTCTGAGGATCGGGAGGTTTTGTATCGCAGATTTATGCTTACTTGTCATGTTTGGGTTTTTTTAAGCAAAAATGCAGCCGTCTGGAGCAGAGAAAGGTGCAGCTGACAGACCAATGCAAAGGGCTGTTGAAGAGAGCAAAGGCGATCTGTAAGATGCAGCCTGATCAGTCATTACCCGAAGACCTGCGTAATGTGAGTGTTCTTCACAGTTTTATTGGTGAATATGTGAAAGAGACTTCCCCCTCTATTCACTCTGTGTAAAACATTACCCATATAATATATTCTAATCTCTGCAGTGAAGCTCCTCAGAGCCTAAAATTCAAATGAGTTCACGGCTCTTTTTTTTTTTTTGTTAAATCAGGCTTTCAGCAAGCTCCCCGACACGCTGGATGAGGTCGATGCCATGCTGAATGAGGAGCGCTCCAGAGCCGAGTGCTTCACTGGCCTCAGTGAAAATGTAAGGACGCATAGAAATCAGGTCTTCATTTATGCTGCGGGACTTCTGTCTTCAGCGTGGTCGTAACTTCAGTAAGAAAGCAGTTTGGAAATGTTAATAAGCATGCATTAGAACAGGGATGCCAAATTCATTTTACATGGCGGGCCACACACAGCCCAGTTTGATTTTAAGTGGGCCGGACAAGTAAAGTTCCTCTTTCTTTCAGGAGAAAGAACTTTCACTAGACATTTAGAAAAGAAAAAGAAGCAACAGTATTTCTTATTTTTCTGCATAATAAGGAAATGCTGCTGTAGTAAATTAAACAAATATCAGCATGATTTAAATTGTAAGCTTGTTTGTTTTTGTAACTGTCCAGTGGGCCGGATTGGAATCTTTGCTGGGCTGATACTGACCCCCGGGCCTTATGTTTTACACCCCTGCATTAGACCTTAAAAATGCCCTTTTGTTCAGACAATTAGTTTTATTTTTACTTAACAGTTTATTCCATTTATGTTCTTATTTGAAATATTAAATATAAATATATACAAATATTGAACCTCTCTTGACTTGAAAGGTTGTCGATGAGTACAACAGGAGAGAGCAGGAGATTAAACAAATGGAGAAAGAGCTGGAAGAAAAGAGCAACGCCCTGAATGCCTACCGACAGAACATATCTGAGGCGAGTGATTACCTGGTTTCACAGGAATTGTCCAGTTTATCATTTGTTGTGTGACAGAACGGCTCTTGGGGTGTAATGATGTGTATATTTGGACTTTTTTTCTTCTGTGTCACAGGCTAAGGAACGCTGGCTTAATCCTCTGAAACATCTGGTTGAACAGATAAACGAGAAGTTCAGTGCTTTCTTTCGCTCCATGCAGTGTGCAGGAGAAGTTGATCTGCATTCAGAGAATGAGGTAATCGCAGAGTCACAGCACACTGCTGAGGTAGAGGTCTCCCTTTGCATCACCTTTAACCACTTATGATTGAGCACAAGTTCATTGAAAACTGAATTTTGAATAGATATGGTAGGCCGTTTAACTGAGGGAAATATTAAACTGTATCCATATTTTTAACGGATGCATCAAATTGGAAAGGTTAAAAATATAGATGGGGTTGCCTTATTATTTTTCACATTATATTTC